TTATTGATAATTCTCAGGAAGGAAGCTAGTGGGGTCTCATCCCTTTCTCAACTTTTTGTTAAGCAGTAGACAACCCTAGTCTTAAACTTTTTCATGTCTCAACTAAAACTCAAGTCAAAAAGGAAGTTATTTAATAGGTGAGCCACAGAGATAAGAGTAGCAAGCAGTGATGGGAGAAGATAATCTAGTGTAGGAAAGATGGAAAGAATGGTGATATTTCACAACTGCTAGATTGACACTTTTTAACTTGGGAGTTACCCCTCTATAAACTGGATATTTTCTGAGCAAAGTTTAAAGAAAACTCTATGTATTTACTCAGTAGAGTTTTCCAAACCCTACTTCTCATAAGCCAGTGGCTTAGCATGCTTGCTCTAATTTCTATTTTCCATTAAACAAGAGTGGAATTTCTTTTAATTCAAACCATTTGTGACTTTGCCCTTTAGTGACCTCTACCATCACCCAGTCATTAATGATCCAAGTGATAGAATGGATGACTATGTGTTTGTAGGTTGTTTGTTGTCTTTAATGAATAGATTCATTGAATGGAATTAACTGTGCTCTTCTAGAACATTGGACCTATGTTCTCATTTAGATTGTATTTGTCATTTCCCCACCATCAACAGTGGCATAATGTGAATTAATTTATGTGGTATCTGCCATCTTAACCATGGTCTCTCTCCTTCCTCTTTTTGTTTTAAACATAGGACATGGATTTGATTGACATACTTTGGAGGCAAGATATAGATCTTGGGGTAAGTCGAGAAGTATTTGACTTCAGTCAGCGACGGAAAGAGTATGAGCTGGAAAAACAGAAAAAACTTGAAAAGGAAAGACAAGAACAACTCCAAAAGGAGCAAGAGAAAGCCTTTTTCGCTCAATTACAACTAGATGAAGAGACAGGTGAATTTCTCCCAATTCAGCCAGCCCAGCACATCCAGTCAGAAACCAGTGGATCTGCCAACTACTCCCAGGTACAGAGTACTCAGTTCTTGGGAAAGTTATGGCAGGGTTTAAGTAAAGACTGACCAAGGAATTAAACTATCTGGATTTGCATTCCAGCTTTGCCTTTCGCTGTGTCTTTTATTTACTTTGTCAAATCTACTTTTGAGTTCACTACCCAAACCTACTAATCTTACAAAGTTATTGTGAGGATTAGGAGGACATGAGTTACAAGAAAGAGTTTTGTAAAGTTCAGAAACCTCCTATAAGGATCAAGTAGCAGCAACAGAAGCAGTGGCAGTAGAACCAAGTAATAGGGATTACTTACAGTACTGCGGCAAGCACTGTTTTAAGAACTTAACATATACTGACTGATTTAATCAACACAACTGTATGAATTAGGTACCATTATCCCTATTTTATCTACGATGAGCAACTGAAGCTCAAAAAGGTTAATTTGCCCAGATCACTCAGAAAATTGGAGGAGCTAAGATTTGAACCCAGGTGGTCTGGTTCAAATTGTGCCCTGAGGTGATCTCTGAAATAAGATATTTACTTGATTATAAACATTTTATGAACATCAATTATGAATATTTAGCTTGGCAATGGAATAATCATTTTTGTCTTCTTTTGTGTTACTCCCTTTTATCAGGCTGCCCACATTCCCAAATCAGATGCTTTGTACTTCGATGACTGCATGCAGCTTTTGGCGCAGACATTCCCGTTTGTAGATGACAATGAGGTGACGTATAAAACAACTGATAAATAGCAAAACTCCATAACTATATAATAACAATCATATTCTATGTAAGTCCCTTCAGTAAGTCTCCATTTAAAAGAGTAAACATTTTTAGGAGGAAATTTTTTAACCAAGGAAATACTCTGTCAAGGAAACCTTAGTCTATAGATAACTTTACAATTAAGAAAAAAAAAACCTTCACATAATATAAAACCAAAATCATTTACTATCGCATAGCCAGAAACATGGACAGTATAACCATGGAAACAAATAACTCATTTGTTACAAGTATCTAAGAGGTTTTGGTGAGTAAAGAACAAGCTGGGCAATGAACGAAGACTTGTTAACAATTTTAATAAATCTGTTTTATCTAGTACTACTGTGCTAGATATTACATAAACTAAATCCTAAAGATTATACTTAAACATTTTAAAGCTTACTTTCAAATGCTTAGGCTGAAACTATTAGGCCAGCAAATAGTAAATGTGAGTCAGTAGGGTTAGGAAAAAGACTTGTTTCATTATTTACAAACAGGAGTCATGATTGGTTAGTAAGTAGAGACACGGAACTGCAGCTGATTCCACTTTGTGTCGTGACGGTGCCTTAGAGCTTACTCATCTTGTTGGTGGAAGACTCATTAATCAATGACTTATCAATTTTAGGTTTCTTCGGCTACGTTTCAGTCACTTGTTCCTGATATTCCTAGCCACATCGAGAGCCCAGTCTTCATTGGTACTAATCAGGCTCAGTCACGTGAAACTTCTGTCGCTCAGGTAGCCCCTGTTGATTTAGACGGTATGCAACAGGACATTGAACAAGTTTGGGAGGAGTTATTATCCATTCCTGAGTTACAGGTAACCAAAATAGAATGTAATACTGAAGATATTATTTTATATTTAGTGCCCTTTAGTCATTCTGATTATTTATGTGCCACCTATTTATAGGAACGATTGGAGGGTGCCTTTAAATTAGTCATGAGTGCTGCCCATGCTAGTTAAGTGGGTTGGATATCCTGAGGAATTTTTTTTTTTTTTTGAGACAGAATCTCACTCTGTCACCCAGGCTGGAGTGCCGTGGTGTTATAACTGGGACTACAGGTGTTATAACTGGGCTACACCACGTCCAGCTAATTTTTGTATTTTTAGTAGAGATGGGGTTTCACCGTATTGGCCAGGCTGATCTAGAACTTCTGACCTTGTGATCCACCCACCTCAGCCTCCCAAAGTGCTGGGACTACAGGCATGAGCCACCTCGCCCAGCCAAGGATAGAATGTTATAAACCTGACATCTGATGTGGGAACTCTGAAAATAATCCGTATACTTAGGCATGAATACGTATTAGAAATGAGAATTATCTCTGAATTACAGGGGTAATAAATTATAGAGATAAGCCTGGAGAGAATGTGGATAGGAAGTTTATCTAAATTTATTGCATGTGGATTAACTTTGATTTATATAGTATAAACTTCTTTCTCATGCAGTGTCTTAACATTGAAAATGACAAACTGGTTGAGACTACCATGGTTCCAAGTCCAGAAGCCAAAGTGACAGAAGTTGACAATTACCATTTTTACTCATCTATCCCCTCAATGGAAAAAGAAGTAGGTAACTGCAGTCCACATTTTCTTAATGCTTTTGAGGATTCCTTCAGCAGCATCCTCTCCACAGAAGACCCCAACCAGTTGACAGTGAACTCATTAAATTCAGATGCCACAGTCAACACAGATTTTGGTGATGAATTTTATTCTACTTTCATAGCCGAATCTGGTATCAGCAACAGCATGCCTTCACCTGCTACTTTAAGCCATTCACTCTCTGAACTTCTAAATGGGCCCATTGATGTTTCTGATCTATCACTTTGCAAAGCTTTCAACCAAAAGCACCCTGAAAGCACAGCAGAATTCAATGATTCTGATTCTGGCATTTCACTGAACACAAGTGCCAGTGTGGCATCACCAGAACACTCAGTGGAATCTTCCAGCTATGGAGACACACTGCTCGGCCTCAGTGATTCTGAGGTGGAAGAGCTAGATAATGCCCCTGGAAGTGTCAAACAGAATGGTCCTAAAACACAACCAGTACATTCTTCTGGGGATGTGGTACAATCCCTGTCACCATCTCAGGGGCATAGCACTCCCATGCATGATGCCCAATGTGAGAACACACCACAGAAAGAACTGCCTGTAAGTCCTGGTCATCAAAAAACCCCATTCACAAAAGACAAACATTCAAGCCGCTTGGATGCTCATCTCACAAGAGATGAACTTAGGGCAAAAGCTCTCCATATCCCATTTCCTGTAGAAAAAATCATTAACCTCCCTGTTGTTGACTTCAACGAAATGATGTCCAAAGAGCAGTTCAATGAAGCTCAACTTGCATTAATTCGAGATATACGTAGGAGGGGTAAGAATAAAGTGGCTGCTCAGAATTGCAGAAAAAGAAAACTGGAAAATATAGTAGAACTAGAGCAAGATTTAGATCATTTGAAAGATGAAAAAGAAAAATTGCTCAAAGAAAAAGGAGAAAATGACAAAAGCCTTCACCTGCTGAAAAAGCAACTCAGCACCTTGTATCTCGAAGTTTTCAGCATGCTGCGTGATGAAGATGGAAAACCTTATTCTCCTAGTGAATACTCCCTGCAGCAAACAAGAGATGGCAATGTTTTCCTTGTTCCCAAAAGTAAGAAGCCAGATGTTAAGAAAAACTAGATTTAGGAGGATTTGATCTTTTTTGAGCTAGTTTTTTGTACTATTATACTAAAAGCTCCTACTGTGATGTGAAATGCTCATACTTTATAAGTAATTCTATGCAAAATTATAGCCAAAACTAGTATAGAAAATAATATGAAACTTTAAAAAGCATTGGAATGTCAGTATATTGAATCAGTAGTTTCACTTTAACTGTAAACAATTTCTTAGGACACCATTTGGGCTAGTTTCTATGTAAGTGTAAATACTACAAAAACTTATTTATACTGTTATGTCATTTGTTATATTCATAGATTTATGATAATGACATCCGGCTAAAAGCAAATTATTGCAAAACTAACCACTATGTACTTTTTTATAAATACTGTATGGACAAAAAAATGGCATTTTTTATATTAAATTGTTTAGCTCTGGCAAAAAAAAATTTTAAGAGTTGGTACTAATAAAGGAATATTATGACTGTTAAAATTATTTCTTTGGAATTCCTTTGAGTTTATTCACACAGTAGTGTTTTCCATAATCATCTATTTAATACATTTAGATGTTTTGCATCTTCAGAATGTTTTCTTTGAAAATATGAAAAGAATTTTATGCTAAATTTCTAGTGACAGGGTTATAGAGAAAGTATATCAAGAGGATACTTTGCCTCTTCAATAGCAGGTACATCTAAACCCAAAAAATGTTATACACTGACATGAACGCATTGATTGATTTATTCCTGTAAGTAAATAATACACACTATACACTAGGCAGGGTTTGAAGTAGAAAGGAAAAAAACCAATACCCCTACCCTGGAATTTGCATTCTAGTGAAGAGGAGGTAACAAGGGTACTCCACTGTTAGAAGTGGATGGGGTAAAACAGTAAAAACATCACAGCACAAAAATAAGGCTATAAATGGGAAGAGCCTTACTGAGGTGGCAATATTTGAAGGTGTGGGAGAAGCCCTTCTCATAGCTAAGAGCACTGCAGACAGGATGCAGCAGGTCCAAAGGCTGCACATTTGAGAAAAGGACAATGTGACTCAAGAAACAGATGGGGGTGGAATATGGCAAAGCCTCGTAAGTCCACGTGAGGTGGGGAGCTACTGATGCTGTTCAGGAGTAACATTGAACTGGTTTTTAGAAGTTCCTTCTGGTGTGACTGCTGGCAGCGGCAGCCTAGCTTTCTGATAAAGGAGTGTAGTTAGTGGCAGGTGACTGTACCACTCTGGATGGAGGCTAAAGAAGTTAAGCTGGAGCTATGGTCAGTGCAGTGGTGGCAGCTGGACTGGCCATTTCTGCTGCAGGTTTTGCAATCCAGGGAGCACATGTAGCAAGTAAAACAGGTTTTTCAAAGTCTACAAAAATCTGTCTTCAGTGGTGGCTGTTAGAGAGGTGGGTTTGAACTCAAAATGACAAAATAGGAAGCAGCCTGTTAGGCCTTACTGCCAATAAGGGAAAAATAAGAGATGCTCAGTAACAAATGTGATACTAAATCGCCAAAGAAGGATCCCCTTATATAGCAACCAAAATCACTGAAGCTAAAGATTTACTAGGTCAAGCTCAAAAATTATACATATGAATTTTAGGTTCCTACTTTTTATGTATATGAGTATCAACTTTCTATAAAATGCCTCAGAGCTACAACTTTTCAAGCTCCCTCTGGCTTGTGTGTTGAAAACAGTATAGTGGGTTAAGGATGGGGGTAGGGAAACCAATTGGAAGGTTCATGCATTACGATGATGGCTTGGTCTAGGGAGACAGAAGAGGGGTAGTTAGGGACACTGGATTCTGCCATGTCTCAAAGAACTAAAAGGATTTTCTGGTAGAATGGATGTCAAAGAGTTGAGCATCTTTAAAAACTGAGTTGCCCAAAAATGAAGATTGGATAGAGAAGAGAGATCCAGATGGGAAAATCAGTTCCTTTTTGGACACACTGAGACATCTATTAGACACAACTAGAGTGTACAAAAAAAGTCCCCTCAAAAACCTTTCAAAATCTGCATGCTCATAGTGGTGGGTGCCTGTAATCCCAGCTAATCAGGAGGCTGAGGCAGAGAATTGCTTGAATCCAGGAGGCAGAAGTTGCAGTGAGCCGAGATCGCACCACGGCAATCTAGCCTGGGTGACAGAGTGAGACTCCATCTCAAAAAAAAAAAAGAAAAAAAAATCTGCATGCTTTCCAATGAACCATTCAGTTACTGATTTTTTCACCTAAGCAGATTTCACTTGTTCATATTATTTTGCCTTTTTAAAGTGAGGAAATGGAGATTCATTTAAGTATGTTTAAAATAAGCATTGTATGTGTAACTATTCAGTGAAGACTCCTAGCAACCCATTAGGAGCAGTGTATTGTTAGAAATCCTGTCCCTGGAACCAGACTGCATGGGCTTGCTGCTAATTCCTAGAATGATCTTTGGCAACTCACTTTAGCACTCTCAAGCATATTTTCTCATCTATAAAGCATAGTGCAGCACTGTTCACAGTAGCAGACTTGGAACCAACCTACACACCCATCAATGATAAAGAAAATGTGACACACATATACCATGGAATACTAGGCAGCCATAAAAAAGAATGAGTTCATGTCCTTTGCAGGGACATGAATGAAGCTGGAAACCATCCTTCTCAGCAAACTAACACAGGAACAGAAAACCAAACACTGCATGTTCTTATAAGTGGGAGCTGAACAATGAGAGCGCATGGACACAGGGCGGGGAACATTACAGAGGCCTGTCAGGGGGTTGGGGGGCTAGGGGAGGGGGATAGCATTAGGAGAAATACCTAATGCAGATGATGGGTTGATGGGTGCAGCAAACCACCATGGCACGTGTATACCTGTGTAACAAGCCTGCATTCTGCACATCAGAACTTAAAAAAGCAGAGTGGTATGCAATGGGCCACCCCACAAAAAGCACTGTGCTAGCTCATACTAAACACCGTATCAATGATGGGTGTTTTGTCTTTTTCCTTTAGCCTTCTATGATGATGCTTTTTGGCTACAAGTTAATCCAGTCAAATTAGCTTACAAGAGAATGTAACTGTTAAAGCTCAGGATTGAAAATGACTTGAAGGACTAATGGATCTGAGAATTCAAATGTAAAGATCTTGGTTTTCTTTTTCTTGAGACAGAGTCTCTATTGTCCAGGATGGAGAACAGTAGCACAATCTCGGCTCACCACAACCTCCACCATTCAAGCGATTCTCATGCCTCAACCTTCAGAGTAGCTGGGATTACAGGCATCTGCCTCCTTTTCCCACTGAAAATACAAGAGATGAACCGGGCCTGTGATTACAGGCCCAGTTACTCATTTTTGTATTTTCAGTGGAGACAGGATTACACCATGTTGGCCAGGCTGGTATGGAACTGCTGACCTCAAGTGATCCACCTACCTCGGCCTCCTGAAGTGCTAGGATTTCACGAGAGCCACTGTGCCCAGCCAAATGTGAAGATTTTGTGACCCGAATATTTTTCACGTGCTATCAAGTAACTTCCTCTGGTGGTGTGGTGACAGGGCATCTTGGGAGGAGACATCACTTTTCCAAACTCAGAACATAATCCCAGGTCTCGAATAAACTTGTCTATTCTTATGTCAAATCGTGAGTGGGAGAGGGTGGCAATAATCTCAGCAGCAGCCCTATCTGGAGCACCTAACACTGATACTTGAAGGAGGAAGAGCACTGCTGGGCAGAGACATTCTTCATTCCTCTGCATCCTTTGGTAGCAAACTGATTCAAAGTATTCTGTCCAATTCATACAAGATTAACTGGACACAGAAACTTACAGTACCTAAAAATATTACAGTGAAACACAAAACATTGTGAGAAATTATAAATTTCAAATAACAAATCCCAACTATGCCATGACTAATAAAACCAAGTGTTCACTTATCTTGATCTGTGTTCTATTTGAGAGCTTTTATACCTAACTGTCCTTAGTAAAATTTGGCTACTGATCTGTAATTGCACAACACTGTCTTATTAGAAAAGTATATCTTGGCCGGGCGCGATAGCTCAAGCCTGTAATCCCAGCACAGGGATCCACAGGCCGAGGCAGGTGGATCACGAGATCAAGAGATCGAGACCATCCTGGTCAAAATGATGAAACCCCATCTCTACTAAAGATACAAAAAATTAGCTGGTCATGGTGGCGTGTGCCTGTAATCCCAGCTACTCAGGAGGCTGAGGCAGAATTGCCTCAACCCAGGAGGCAGAGGTTGCGGTGAGCTGAGATCACGTCATTGCACTCCAGCCTGGGTAACAAAAAAAAGCGAAACTCCATCTCACACACACAAAAAAAGAGTATATCTTCTTGCCAAGATCTCTCAAGTTCCTGTTTTTGAGGGGACACTGCTCAAACATGCTTGCCATATCCGTATTTGTGGCTAAGCCTCAGAAGATATACAGGGCAATTCTCATTCCCATTTTAAAGACAGTTATCAGGATGCTTTCAGTTGATGTCTTTAACACTTGAGAATTGGAAAAGAAGAATAGAAAACTTCAATCCTATGTGGGAGGGAAAAACGCTTAAGACACTGGCATAACTTTTATCATCACCCATTAAAATGTTAGGTATGTCTCAGTATATCCTTGTAACAGTATCCAGCATTACCAAGACACTATCTTTAGGGTCTGTAAGGAAGGTTCTAGCTTACATTCTTTAAGCTACCGAATTTAACCTTGTGATTTATTGAGGGAAGAAATTGTAAATCCATTTTACCAATAAAAAAAAGGCGGGGGTATTAGGTTAAAACAAATTCTTAACCTGGATAGAACTCAGGTCAGAGAATTTTGATGGGAAGAAAATTTCGTCTTCATTTTCACTAACATTAAACATTCTCTTTGGTATTCCAGGCAACAAACCACTGATATTTCACAGTACTTGTCTTAAAGTACAATTTAAACCGCATTTTCACTTATGCATCACAACTTCAAAATGTTACAAATCAGACCCACCATTAGACCTAATTTGGTGTTTCAAGTACATTAAGTCACAAACTTAGTATTTTGGAAATATTTTCATGTAATGTTTAAGTAATACCACCTGTATCTCATACATGGAAAAATCAACATTCTAAGGGGCCTGCTGGCATACCAATCTGCCAGACAGCATGACATTCAAAAGAAACCAAGTAACCTGCCCAAGCTCACAAAGCTGCTTGTACATTCTGTAAATTTCTTCCCGATAAGCAAAATCTGACACAGGAATCAAAGTAACAACAACCTACGAAATACAGCAGACCATTGACTTCAAATAGGCAACCCATCAGAATTCTTTTGAATTTATTTTAAAGGATGTAAGTTTACTCAGGATTTATTGAATAATATAGTAATACAATTAAAAATTACCTGGAGCCTCCAGATGTTTAAACATTTTACACAATTCCTTTGAGTATTACAAGTCCCTTAAGTATTAATTAGTAGCTATATACATATATGGATGTAGTGAATACAACTTAGCCATTTCATCTTTTAAGGTATTTTAAAGCTGTCAGCATCCTTCTGTATGTATATAATTTACTCAATTACTATTTCTATACCAATAAATTCCTATTTCCTAGCTAACTTGCAGAACTGTGCTCACATAACCCCTACCACATCAACGTACACTTTCAATGCATCCTTGCTATTACCTGGTGTTAGGGTCTTTGAAAATGTATTAAGTTTAAAACAGCTTATTTTATCTATTACCACCTTACATCCCCCTAAACCTTGGCACTGTAGTATATTCAATCCAAAATTAAAAACCAACCCAATGTGTAACAATCCAATTTTTTGCAAAGGAAAACAGTGTTTAGAACATTTACTACCAGTCTGGGATGTGCACATGAAGACTCAAATTTTAGCTCATTTCCTGAATATTTTGGAGTTTATAACAATGTGCTTTTATTGTGAGAAAACAAGAGTAAATATACTTCTTTTGTTGGAAATAAGTCCATGCTCATCCTTTATTATTCCACGACCTAAGTATTAAACTGAAATTGTAAGACACATTAAGATTACTTAACTGCACCAAGTTAACTGCACCAAGTATGACACAAGTGTTTCAAATTAAACCTAACAGCTAGCCAAGAATCCTTAACTGGCTTTCACTTACAAAGTATTTCACTTGGAAAAACTATATTGGGAAAATGTGCTTAACAGCTATTAAGGCTAGAAATCCAAATGTAAGTTGTCATTTTAGAAGACTTCATCAAAGCCTTACCCTCCCCACCAAAAAATTAATCCAACAAAATAAGAGGGCCATTGTACACAACATATTTTCTTGTGTGTTAAATGGCAGCGTAGTTTAAGACTACTTAAGGTCATGAAAGGTTTTCTCCAACTCTCACCATACAATGCTGAACGACTCCACTGCCTCTCAAGATTTAACAAACTAGGTACTTTCGGCCAGGTGCAGTGGCTCACACTTGTAATCCCAGCACTTTGGGAAACCCAGGGGGGTGGACCACGAGGTCAAGAGATCAAGGCCATCTTGGCCAACATGGTGAAACCCCGTCTCTACTGAAAACACAAAATCAGCTGGGCATGGTGGTGTGACTGTAGTCCCAGCTATTCAGAAGGCTGAGGCAAGAGAATTGCTTGAACCCAATTGAGCAGTGAGCTGAGACGCCACTGCACTCCAGCCTGGCAACAGAGTGAAACTCCCTCTAAACAAAACTAGATAGTTCCAACATCTGCAATACCTCCCCCCTTTCCCTCCTAGCAACCACCTTTACTTTTCTCCTAGTTTGTTTCTATTTACTAATTCACTTGCTTATCTTATTTTGGTTGTTTTCCCTCTCAAAGGTTCAGATTCCTCATATGTATCACCCAAATACCTCATTGTCTTTCAAGACCTAAGTTCTTATAGGCAACAAGTGCTGGTAACGTTAAAAAATATTTTTTCTTCCATGCCTATTTCCCATGGCTTGTTTTCCACATAATAGAATCCACATCTTTTAAAGTAACTCATAAAGGCTCACTCCAAGTTTCCTGTTGTTTTATTTACTGGTAAAAGAACTCAAAATATTCACCTATAATGTTTAAGTCACATGAACACTGTGAAGTGACAAAACAACACACACATTTCTAAAAATATTTTAATGAAAAAGTTATCTTTCTGTAAACATTTCATCAGACTACAAATGAAACATCTGAATCCATTACAGAACACTTCTGAATTCTTAAAAATTAGAAAACACACTTAGGTTTTATCATTTTGAATATTTAGATAGGCTAACAATCCTTACATTACCCTTGCACACTGGCATGCTTATTCACTATTTTGTGACATCAATTACTGGAACTCCAAGAGATACTATCATTAATTAGGTTTCAAATTGTTGACTATTATATACTGGAATTCTTAAAATCAAGCCTATTTCAATTATTACTTAACAAATACACTTTATTACCACATATTCTCCTGTAGAACATGAATATAAAATCAGCTTTTTAGAAGTGTAATATTAGAAGCATTAACCCATAATTTGGTTTAACAAAATCAGTTAATTCTGCCTCAACCACTTATATAACAATTTTTTTAAACTGCTGCTACAACTAATACTGTATTTTTCAGAAACGACAATGGAACTATGTTTAAATAAAACAATTTTATTTTCATAAAGAAACGAACTAGAAAGAACAATGCACTTAAAAAATAAAAACGTTTCCTTTCTTAGGAAATTTGCTTCACTAAAACCATATTGTAAAGGAAATTCAAAGGCTGTTACCTTACTCAACATGTGTAGAAACTGGGTTCTCATTTAGATAGAGCCAACAGCCATTTTCTAAGTACACTGGCAAACTGACTGTTCTTCATGTAGGAAACCGGTAATTTGGAAACTAGTTTGCATTTTCAGTATTTGTCTCCATTAGGGTAAACTAACCACCTTAATTGTTAAGTCCTTTTGGGGCAGCAAAAACAGCCCTTATTAACCATGAACAACCAGTTTGAACAGTAATTCAGTATTCTTTGGAAAAAATGTCTTTTTATAAAGGAGCACTAATTAGGCCCCCACTGCTTCTGGTTAACAGATGAACCTAAACAAAAAAAGGAACCAAAATGTAACCTGTTGGTCCAATGAATTCCCTGAATTTATATACAAGAGAACTTATGAGGCCACTTGAAGACCAACTTTTATCTGTGACATCTGTTAACTTTTCTGAGATGAGGTCTGTCAACCAGGCTGGAACACAGTGGGGCAGTCAGCTCACTGTAGCCTTGACCTCCTAGGATCAAGGGATCCTCACATCTCAGCCACCCAAGCTGCCAGGACTACAGATGTGCAACACTAAGCCTGGCTAATTTGTCTATAGGCAAGTCTCAAACTCCTGGACTTCGGATCCATCTGCCTTGACCTCCCAAAGTGCTGAGATTACAGGCATGACCTGCTGTGCTGAGCCCTGGTAACTTTTACTGTTCCTCTGAAGGTGTTTTTCCCAATATGAGGATTGCCAGCCTACTGAGTCTGTGGTGTGCAGTGCTTATTAAAAATTGGTTTTCACCAAAGCTGAAGCTACCTTCTACCAAAAATTGAGTTTACCCTGAAGACAATAATAAAAAATGATATACACAAGGGGTCACAACTGACTCCAGATGAATAGTTATGACTATTGCAGGGCAATTTTTAAAACTAAAATTTCAATGTGTTGATCATGGTACCAAGGTAGTTTTAAGCTGAAGAATTTTACCAATGTGCCTACTAGAAAGGGACAAAGTTGTGAAATATGTACTTGTAGGGAAACAAATGGTGTCATCAGGTTTTACTGTCAGCTACAAACCTTACCCAGCCAGAAACCTTCGTATTTTAGATGGTAGGAAAGACATTCCGCATTTAGGCAAGTAGGGTTCTCATTCAACCTGCAAATCAAAAAGATTACTCTTACCTTGCTTTACAAAAAATTATTCTTTAATTAGTGAAAAAATTCAAATTCAAGCCTTACCTAATGCTTATTGCCCTTCCTTGCAGGTCTAAATGCTAGACCTAGTGACTGTGGCAACTATCTCTCATTGATGTTCCAAAAGGCGAAGAGCTCCTTCCTGCTAGACTTTCTTCGATATTTCAGTTGTAATAAGCAGATTAACTAGCTTTTGAAAAGTTGCTCACTATCATCATAGTATCTTATGCCTTCACTTCTCTGTAGTTGAAGCTCTTGCTGCTGCCTTGTCATTCTTTATTTATGCTGACTTGTCCATACACAAAAGGCTGCTGAAGTCCTGTCTTAGTGAGTTTCCTTTGATCCACACTGTGCTTAAAAAGCACATCTTAGGTCCTTTAAAGCTGGTTAAATCGCTCTCCTCATGGCTTACTTTTCCACACTGTTCACAAGAGCTAAGCTAATACAACTTATAAACAGGTCACATACACAGATTTCACCTGCTTATAGGTTGTAAACATCAACTTACTGTAAATGTTTTCACTATAATACTAGTTCCAGAACATAGAAAGTTGGTTAACAGTACAATTAACCTTATATGCCATTAAAGGATACTGTCAAGGTTGTGCCAAACAATTTCACAAACATAAAACAGGAAATGTCAATCTCCCCCATTCCTTTAAACTTTATTTATGAATAAAAGAACTTGAGACAATTTAGCTCAATTTTAATGTTTCCCAAGCATTATTTTGACCAGGTACCCAGGTTTAAGTTATGAACATTGACAGTGTCCATTATATAACCACACTTGAAGTTATTAAGGACTTAACCATTTTCTAATATTAGCCTATTTTCTACACTGCTTTTTCACATATATGCCCATTAACAAATGGAATGTCTGTTACATTTATTGTTTGTGAGTGTTTCTGGAAAACTGCAGTATGTGTGAAGACCAATTTCCATGGTGGCATTGCATGCATCCAAATATTAATGCACAGAGGCACAGAATTAGAGCAACAAGAGAGCATATTCAAACACTAGCACGCCCCATTCCCCTTTTTATTGCTTGTTTTGCTTAGTACTTCTTAAAACAAAGAATCTTGAATTCAACATTCAACTACCAAGAAAGAATAACAGCAGGGCACATACTCAGGGATCGAATGAAACTGTAAGTACTAGCTGGCGCAAAACAGTAGACATTGATTTATATTAATATATATATATATGACCTTATTATCTAAAACTCTTCTCAACCAGGGCCTTCCAAACGAATTGGTAACAATATGATTTATGTTGAAATATACACAAGAAGTTACAGTGTGTTCTTTGGAAATTTAAGAACTCAGACTATCCAAATTTGAATTCAGGTCTGTAGGAAGTGAGAAGCTTGTACTAAGCAACTGTGCTGCTACATTTCTGCTGCAGTTAGGTTATTTTGGATAGTTATACCTAAACTATCCTTGGTTTCATCCAGCAAAATGTATAGGGTACAAACAGGAAAGCATGCCAGCCAGTTAGGGGTTTAATAATGCATGATTTTTATTCTCTTACTCTGAAAACTTACATATATATATATATATATAAATTTAAACCAAGGAAAATATCTGATGATTTATGGGCCTCTTGTGCTTTAAAAAAGAAAAAAAAAAGGTACCCACTAATTTGCTCGGATATAGCAGGCTTAATGGTCCTGTATTTTGAAAAGTTTTAAAGAATGGTTTCTAACGTAAGAGAGAGAAAACATCCACTACCCCTTTTCTGAATTTAAATGGAGGGCAGTTAAACATTCTTTACACCCAAAACCTATGGCAGCAGTTCAAATTTGACCAAGCTAAACGTAGAATGAAGATGTTCTAAACACAGCTAGGACTCAGCAAGTCTAACACACTAAAATCATGTGATTACATTTTAAAAGAAAATGCACAAAAACCAAATAGAAGTTTTGAGATATTTTTCATTTGAAGGTAATCTTAATGCTATTAAATTCACAAATGCTAATTTAAATACCCAGTCCTATTTACCTAAAACACACATTGCAAACACACATATATCTATTCTCTCCACATGTCAGTGCCCATTCATATTATGGTTTGGAAATGGGGAGAATAGATTCCCCTTAAACTGCAAGTCAGCAGGTGTTTCTTTACAGTTAACTTTAGCAAAATTCATACAAAATAGTAATTAACAATGATCTTCTTTACTTGTTAACTCACAAGGAAACACCTTCAAAACTGCATTTTGTTAAAGTTTCTGTACTAAAATGTAGAAAAACTGAACTACACAAATATTGAAAAGTTAAAAATTCCTTAATTTTTTATTCCTGGTACCACTACCACAATTTACAGGGCAATATACCTGATGTAATGAAAAGAAAAAGAAAAAGACAAAGCTACAACAGATAAAAGACCTCAGGAATGTACATCTAATTGACACTACATTGCATTAATCAATAGCTGCACTTTTTGCAAACTGTGGCTATGACAGTCCTGAACAAGAAGGGTTTCCTGTTTAAGCTGCAGTAACTTTTCTGACTATGGATCATCGCTCCTTCTGTGGCAGATTTTTACAGTTCCTCTAATGCATTTGGGACGACTGTCTCAAAGTAACCTGCAGCTTTCCTGACAACTCCTCGCTCTCTCTCCTGCTAAGAACTGTAGCCTGTTGAATAATACAGGATAAAAAAATTATTACACTCAGTGAACAGTTCCACATATTCTTTATCATCATGACAAAAATTTAAAGATACCTACCCTTTTCTGCTGCTTTTAGAACCTTCTGCTACCATATCCACCACTTCCACCACCAGATCCATAACCACCTAAAAATATATATAATAGATCCATAACCACTAAAAATATACATAATATCTTAAAAGAAGTATGCATTTTTTTTAAATTAAAGACTCTTAAAGAATGATTTAAGAAGTACTTACCACCATAGGGACTGCCCGAGCTTCTTCCACCAAAACTGCCCCCTTTCATGGGTCCATAATTTGATTGCTGTTGTCCACTATAATTTCCAAAATCATTATAGTTCCCACCACCACCATAGTTACCTGAAATCAGAAAGGGTTTATGTGTGGTTTACCCACACAATAATCATTTTCCCCTTTTGATGTAACTATTATTGTTTCACAATTATGGTAGCATGCTTACACACATCACTTTGGTAGCACCACTTGGAATAACTGATGTCAGCATATTGAAAGACCATCAACATTTTGTTTGTATTAGATGGTATTCTCTAGGCACATGTTCTTTCTACCATTAACACCATTGAAATTGTCAGTGTTCCACTCACTATGATGCTGCTGCAGTATAACATTTAAAACAATGTGAAGGCATTCTAACTTGTTAAACCTTCGCTCATCTGTCACTGACATGTTAATTAGGTCCAACAAAACAGGACACTCGTAAGGATCTTAACAGTATCCTGGAGTAATGACCTACATTAAAGCCTGCAACATACCTGTGACGTATTGACACAAAGTACTTTTTCTCTTACACCTAGATGGCAACCTGCTCACTTCAACTTGTCTCAGTATTCAAACAATTTACTCCCATTTGTCCATTTAAAAGTACTTAAAAGTTCAGTTTAAAAGTACCTAAGAGTCAAGGTAAAATTCTGGCAATATATAAACTCCCTATCTTTTACATGTATTATTACATACTGGCAAATGACCACTTTTAACTTCTCAACTAAGAGTTGAGTGTATTTTAGTAAACAATCAGCAAAGTCAAGAAAATTTGAATTACCCACCATTTTATTATTTTCTAATATTACAGAACACACAATTTTACCAACTGCTAACTTTTAACACTTGTCAAATATATGTCATGGGAACTGTTAGCAACACTGAATAGTTCACATTTAAATGAAAAAAGTGAATGCTTACCACCACCAAAATTTCCTCCTTCGTTGTAACCATCATATCCTCCACCACCGCCACCATATCCACCACCTTGGTTTCCATATCCTGGTCCACCACCACCATAACCCCCTCTACTACTATAACCAGGACCACCGCCATAGTTGCCACCTAAAAAAAAAACAACAAAAAATAAGAGCACACAAAAACATAAATGTGTAAAGAGTGAAGTTACTCAATTCTGGTGATTGTATGTTTAAGAAACCAGATCTTGGTCTGTTGCCCAGTCTCGAGTATAGTGGCATGACCACAACAATGCAGCCTTGAACTCCTGGGCTCATGCCACTCTCCCACGTCAGCCGCCCGAGTAGCTATACTATGGGCATGTGCCACCAAATTCCCCTATTTTTTCTAGCAACATGGTCTCCTGATGTTGCTCAGACTGGTCTCAAAATCCTCACCTCAAGTGATCCTTCTGCTCCAGCCTCCTGAATAGCTAGCATTACTCAATTCTGGTTTTATATTACATTTAAGCCACTGGCAAATAAGCCAATGAGTTAACACTCTGAAACCTGGTAATACCAAAAAATAATAGAATAGCAAGTATCTAGAGCTAGTAAGAATGAAAATAAATGCTTCAGTTTTCATTTTATCAATCTGCACTAAGAAAAATACAGCCCCAGACTTCAATTCTAGCTCAACTCCTAGTACTCTCTGAAAAAGACCAGTTAATGTTAAATCTCCAGGGGAAAAAGAGTCTCTACTCTTCTATGGCATTAGTTTGGAAATACGTCTTAACCATTAAGTCATTCAAGTTTTAATTAAAATTAGAAAGGTAGAATACTTAATTTTCCATAAGGTAAAGAAAGTTATTAAAATAAACCACCTACCATCACCAAATCCATTATATCCACCATCACCTCCTCCATAACTACCTCTGCTGCCACCACCTCCACCACCATAACCTCCTGAGGAAAAACAAGATATGAATTAAAATCATATATTTAACTTACCAAAACGTTAGGTACATATGTACTTAGAAGATAAACATCCTACCTCTTCCACCAAAGTTTCCACCACGGCCAAAATTACCTCCACCACCTCCAAAGTTTCCTCCGCGACCCATAAAATTGCCAGATCCACCTCCACGACCTTTAACATAGGCAAGGGAGATTTTAAGAATCTTACAGCCACCACTAAAATCTTTTGTGTACATGTGTATGATACTACTCACCTCTCTGTGATCCAGCAGACTGCATCTCTTGTTTAGAAAGGGCCTTTTTCACTTCACAATTATGCCCATTAATAGTGTGGTATTTCTGAACTACATTTTTTTTTTAATCAAACAAAACAAAAAGTTATTTTGTGTTTGGAAAAGCGCATATATATGATACCCTCTGTCATTATGTAACCCATTAAGACATAATCAGGTAGTGACTCTGGGAATGAAGGAGCATTCTGAGATGTTAATGTTTATTCCTTTACCTGGATACTGATTACAGAGTTATTGACCATACACTATAAAGGCTGTTACATGCAACAGAAAATTACAAGCAATTTGGCAAATTTAGTTCAAAACAGAGAAACCACTTTTTTCTCATTTAAGTTCCCATAAATTGCTACTTACCAACAATTTTATCAACTGTATCATGATCATCGAAAGTTACAAAAGCAAATCCTCTCTTTTTTCCACTCTGCCTGTCTTCCATAACTTCTATGGTTTCAATCTTGCCATACTTTTCAAAGTAGTCTCTCAAATTATACTCTTCCGTATCTTCTTTAATACCACCAACAAAAATTTTCTTCACTGTTAGATGGGCACCAGGCTTTACAGAATCCTACAAATCAAGTCATGTATTAAGTCAAGACATAAACTTTCACAACAATTTCACATATTTTACAACATATTATTAAAATACCTCTCTAGAAACAGCTCTCTTTGGTTCCACTACACGCCCATCAACCTTGTGTGGTCGAGCACACATTGCTGCATCCACCTCTTCAACACAAGAATAAGTCACAAAACCAAAGCCCCTGGAACGTTTGGTTTGGGGATCTCTCATTACCTAAAAAATAAAAGTTTTATAACATTGAAACACCTCCACCGGTTCTCTACACCCCTAAAAACCATTCTGTTCCCTTAGTAACTTACCACACAATCTGTAAGTGTGCCCCATTTCTCAAAATGTTCTCTTAAACTATCATCTGTAGTTTCAAAGCTCAGACCACCAATAAACAGTTTTCTCAACTGCTCTGGTTCCTTTGGATCATGGCCCTGAGACAAAGAACCAATATGCTTAAATTACCTCTTAAAGATGAATTGTTAAGATGTACGAAGAGCCTTTAATCTATCATAAATAATAAAATCAACATCAAATTCCTGAGACAGTTAACACTTTGTCCAGTTAAAACTTTGACTAGAGGAAGGGAGCCATGGCCCACGCCTGTAATCCCAGCATTTTGGAAGGCCAAGGTGGATGGATCGCCTAAGTCAGGAGTTCCAGACTAGCCTGGACAATATGGCAAAACGCCATCTCTACTAAAACACAAAAATTAGCTGGGCACGGTGGCGGGCACCTATAATCCCAGCTACTTGGGAGGCTGAGGCAGGAAAATTGCTTGAACCCAGGAGGGGGAGGTTGCAGTAAGCCAAGATTGTGCCACTGCACTCCAGCTTGGGCAACAAGAGGGAACCTCCATTTCAAAACAAACAAAAAAACCCAACAATTCTGACCAGAAATACAGACTTCCACTGTTAAAAGGGCTAACTTATGCCAAGGAAACCTACTACCTGCCTTTCAAATGCCAACATCACTTCAATTAAACTGAAATCCAAGACAATTCCAGAACAAAAAATCTTCCATTTTTTAAAAGCTATGACCCTTTACTTTAGAAGTTGCTAATGAGAAATCATTTTCTAAGGCACTAAAGTGTTGGAGAAACAGTGCTGCTTCTATCCCAAGTATTCTCAGCCTACATCCTAACACACATTTAATTTTAAACACAAAACTGTGATGATTAACCTCAAGAAACTCACTGCTTTCAAGCAAATTTTTAAAAGTCATTCCTAAGCTAAATTAGCATTTCCTGTCCCCCCCCAAAAATTAGAAAAAAAAAAGAAGCCCACCAAATATAGCTTTGTATAGCCCATAGCCCATGCTTGTTATATGCTACAAAAATCTGCACTTTACAACTCAATTTTAAGAGTCACAAAAAAGTGGCAAGTTGGACTTAGTAGTATGAATTGTCTGACTAGAAGAATGGAGCACAGTAAAACAAAAATTTAGATTTTTAAGAATTAAAATGTTCTGAAATTGTTTTATACGTTAGTCAGACTTTTCAACACATTGCATTAACTGTCATTTAATGTATCATTAAGGTTTCCGTCATCCGAAGTCCTTAAAGGGGCTCACATTTACATTCTAATGTCTTCCTGTGTCTTCTAGAGGTAGAGATAAAGCATTTAATGTGAAGCGACTGTCACATACTAAAAAAAAAATGTTAAATAATTAATAGCCTAAAGCATTAATTCATGTAGTCTCATCTTTTCAAGTTTTGGATAATTGTATTCGATTGGCAATAATAAAATCGACAAAAATAAACATTTGGGATCCACATAAAACGTACCGCCAACACACACGCAAAAATTTCAACTCTGGCTGCAGTCCTCTAAACAAAATTCCAGGAAACTACAATCAGAGCCGACTGAAAAAATGGGAAACCACGAAGATCAAAAATACTTTTAATTCTTATTTAACATCTACACTCAAATTCTTCTTCTCCACTCCTCGACCCTGGCCGGGGCCGGGAAGGAGCGGACTGGGTTGTTTTCCGCATCTACACTCAAATACTAAGTTCTTCACCCACATGGCGGTTTGCGAGGTGTAAAAATAGTTTAACAAGTCCTTTAAAGCAGCAAAGTTTTTAGCAATCTCGTATTTCCGACAGGATGCTGCGAAGAAAAGAACAGGCTAGACAATTAAAGACTCTCCTCACGAAGCGGATCCGTAAAAGGCCTAGAAAAGCGCCGGCAGAACTTCAGCAAAAGCGCTACGTTCCGCGCTTCTAGGCCATTTGCGGCATTTTCCGCTGGGCCGCCTCCGCCCTCTTCCCTCCAATCCCAGGCTCTCTATCCCGGCGGCAGAGCGAGGCGGCGGCCATTGCGGGCCAATGCGCCATTTCGTAACGCGGCGGCGGATCAATGTCAATGTGGCCGCCGCCCGCCTGCTCGCTCGCCCGGATGTGCCTGCTCGTCCCCTCCCCTCCCCCCACCTCCTCCCAACTGCTCCCGCCGGGCCCGCCATGCCGCCCGCGGTCTCGCTTTGAGGCCGCGCAACCGGCGGTCCGGCTTCCCTCCCCAGGCCTCCTCAGCCACGCCGCGCCTCCAAGGGGCCGCCAGTGCAGCCGAAGGTTAAGGCGAGGCGAGTGAGGCGCCCCGAGGAGGCCTCAGAGCCCGCTCCCCTCCCCCTCCCAACGCTCGTCTCAACGCAAGAGCGCGGGACGGCCGACCCAGTCCACCCGGCCTCCCCGCTCCCACCAGGCCAGGCCCCCCAAGCCGGCCATTCCCCATCAACCCCCCGCTCTCCCCCTAATACCTCCTCCCCCCGGCGGCGACGGCGACGGCCGGAGTCGGGCTGGGGGCGACCGGGCGGCGGTTTTACCTCCATTTTGAGACCGGACTCGCCTCTTCCAACTCGAGTTCAATATGGGACCGAGAGGAAGAGGCGGGGGCAGTCGTCACGTGACGCGTTTTCCGCGCGCCGCCAGTCTGGTGGGGGAGGAGCGAACTGAGAAGGGGGCGGGGCCAAGCGGGCGCGAAGAGGGACTGGACCAGCGGGTTGGCGGGCGGAGGGCGGAGGCGCGGTGTGCCGCGGGAGCGCGCGCGCCTTGCCAATTTCCAGGGCTGGACCGCCTTTGCCGCGGTTTGCGTCTGGACGTTGGTCCGGACGTCAGCTCGGGCTCAGCCAATAGTGAGTACCCACGTATGGAGACTGCCTCGTGACTGCTTGTCACCAGAGAGAAAGGCCTTTACCTTTCTTCATGCGCCTGTCCTTCTTTCCCCACGCAGACCTCTCGTTCTGTGTTTCCGAATTCATTCCTTTCCTGTGCCTGAAATAAAACGCACGTTTTTCTTGCTTGTAATTTAAAAGTGGCAAGAAAAACCCCTCGGCCTCCCGGACCACCTCTCCTGTTTCCAAATGCCAGGGACCAATGTCTGACTGCGGCGCCATGTACCGAAAAATCCCTGCGACTCCGACATGTGGGAATCACAGGCACCTTGGACAGGCCTCAAAACGCGGCTGACTTACAGAATTTTTACTCCTTAACAGAGGCAGGACTGGTGGAGGTCAGTTCATCAGTTATTCACTGATCTCAAGAAACAAGTCAGGACTATTTTCTAATGTGCTGCTTTCAAGTTAGTGTGGAAAGAGCTGAAGCATCTTTTCTAGCTGACGGAATTTACGAAACTGAATAATTTACAAGATTTCCAAAAAAGCAGAATCGCCAGATAATGCTTCCTGTTTGCGAATGATTGTTACCATGATGCTCTAGAGATCCGATCCTTTCTCGGCCCAGATCATTTGACTTTACAGAACTTTAGTTTTAATTTTTTTAATGAAAATGGGATTAGGTCATCTCCTAATACCCACGACAGCCATAAATTAATAATCTATGGATCTATATTTAAAGTTGTTGATAAAAATAATCACGATTGACCAGCCTCCCTTTTCATTAGGAAATGCTTTATATTTTAACTTAGCAACCCATATGACCTACTCTTAGAATTGAGCGGGCTCTCCCTAGGAAAGATTAGAAATCTAATCAGTTATATTAAAAGTTTCTGTTAACAAACGCGGAGTGGTCGGCTTGGAATTTGGAAAAGGGGAGCGCAAAATCTAAGAATTTGTTAATTTATCTAGGCGTTGCCCAGGGAGGACCTGTGTTATAGTTTGGAAACATGAACAAAGGGTACTTTTGTGGGGCAGAAACCAGTTAGCAGTCCTTAATGTAATTTGGATGAAATAACCGTTCAAACCAGACTCCTGTTGCTTTGATTCCTTTTTCTCAAACTTTTATGTATTCTGCGTATTCAGGTGCTCCTGATGGCTAGCAATACACTTGAGACATTGGAAGAATGTACAGCCTTAGCGTCTGGTTAAGTCTGATTACTGTGAACAGTCTTGGTCACTTTATCAATTCTGAATACAAAGAAAAATGCAAAGTGAAACACTTTGGAAAGTGGTATTCACACCAGTGTACCCTATGAGACACTGCATATGTGATCAAGAAGATCACCTGGCTACACTTTAGGGTATGTTTGTCCAGGTGTTTCCTAACCAAGTTAGTTCTAATCAACAACTTTTGTTCTAATCAATAACTTTTGTATAAATGTTAACGTTAAATCGCGAAATGATGTTGGATGGATGTTAATTTCTCTCCAGGAACATGAAATGTCAGTCCATTTATTTACATCTTTTTGTCCTCCCCCTGTATTGGTCCACATTTGCTGTTGATACTGCATGTGTGTTGTTTTTGGACATTAGTTATTTTATTTTATTTTTGAGGTGGAGTCTTGCTCTTGCTGCCCAGGCTGAAGTGCCATGGTGCGATCTTGGCTCACTGTAACCTCCCCCTCCTGAGTTCAAGTGATTCTCATGCCTCAGCCTCCCAAGTAACTGGGATTACAGATGTGTACCTCCACACCTGGATATTTTTTTGTATGTTAAGTAGAGACGGGGTTTTACCATGTTGGCCAGGCTGGTCTCAAACTCCCGACCTCCCAAAGTGCTGGGATTACAGGCATGAGCCACCGCACCTAACCTGACTTTTTTTAATGCTTTTGTCTAAACTTAAGCTCTGGCCGGGCACGGTGGCTCACGCCTGTAATCCCAGAACTTTAGGAGGCCAAGTCAGGAGGATCACCTGAGGTCCCGAGTTTGAGACCAGCCTAGCCAACAGGGTAAAAACCCGTCTCTACTTTTTAAAAAATACAAAAATTTGCCAGGCATGGAGGTGCACGTCTATAATCCCAGCTACTTGGGAGGCTGAGGCCCGAGAATCACTTGAATTTGGGAGGCCGAGATTGCCCTACTGGACTCCAGCCTGGGTGGCAGAACGAGACTCCATCTCAAAAAAAAAGAAATGGGCGGATGCAGTGGTTCATGCTTACAATCACGGCACTTTGGGAGGCCGAGTCTGGCAAATCACCTGTGGTCAGGAGTTCAAGACCAGCCTGTCTCTACTAAAAATACAAAATTAGCTGGGCGTGGTGGTGTGCGCCTGTATTCCCAGCTACTCAGGAGGCTGAGGCAGGAGAATCTCTTGAACCCGGGAAGCAGAAGTTGCATTAAACTGAGATCATGCCACTGTACTCCAGCCTGGGTGACAGAGCAAGACTCCATCTCAAAAAATAAATGAATAAATAAATAAGCTCCAATTGTATCTCAGGTACAAAAATCCCCTTTTCCAGTCCTTGAACCTTGAACCTTGGCTACGATCTACACTTGCAGCTCTGACTCTTTGAAACGAGAAAGGAAGTGTATGGGATGGGAGGAGGGAGTGAAGGTACTAGGGTGAGATGAGTGGCAGACAAACTTTATAATCTGTATCAGGCCCTCTCTTTTGTGACATACAGAAAATGATCATTTTTGTGCAGCATGCTAGGGTAAACTAGAAGATATTTAGAGGCATCTAAATGGTAGTAATATTTTATTTTAAGTGTCTAATTTTGATAAATACAAAGTAGTAGGAATGCAAATATTGAATTTGCATAACACTTTAAAATTTTCTATGTTTTTTAATGATCAACTTGAATTTGTTCTTGTGAATACATTTTGATACTAGATTTTATGGTTGAAGTGGCTTTATGCAGTTTCTGATTTAGACTTTTGTTTTTTGAGATGGAGTCCTACTCTGTTGCCCAGGCTGGAGTACAATGGCACAATCTCAGCTTACCGCAACCTCCTATTCCTGGATTTAAGCAATTCTCTTGCCTCAGCCTCCCAAGTAACTGGGATTACAGGTGACCACCAGAACACCTGGCTAATTTTTTTCCATTTTTAGTAGAGATGGGGTTTCTCCATATTGGCCAGGCTGGTCTCGAACTCCTGACTTCAGGTGATCTGCCCGCCTTGGCCTCCCAAAGTGCTGGGATTACAGGCATGAGCCACCATGCCCAGCTTTTTTTTTTTTTTTTTTTTTGAGATAGACTCTCATTCTGTTGCCCGGGCTGGAGTGCAGTGGCATGATCTCAGCTCACTGCAACCTACCACTCCTGGGTCCAAGCGATTTTCATGCCTCACACACCCAACTCGCTGGGATTACATGCTTGTGCTACCATGCCTAGCTAATTTTTTTTGTTTTTGTTTTGAGACAGTCTTATTCTGTTGCCCAGGCTGGAGTGCAGCGGCATGATCTCGGCCCACTGCAACCACTGCCTCCTGGGTTCAAGCAATTCTCTTGCCTTAGCCTCCCAAGTAGTTGGGACTACAGGTGGGCACCACCACACCTGGCTAATTTTTGTATTTTTACTGGAGATGGGGTTTCACCTTATTGGCCAGACTGATCTAGAATTCCTGACCTTTAGTGATCTGCCTGCCTCAGCCTTCCAAGGTGCTGGGATTATAGGCAAGAACCACCGTGCCCGGCCTGATCTAGACTTTTTAATGATATGAACTCCTCGTATTCTGAATAGTCATTGTCATTGAGGGACTGATTCACATAAGTGGGTGATAAAATATTTAAAACCATTTTTATACAACCATTCAAAATGTACAATTGTAATTATATTTAAAGAATCTAACAACTTGGCTGGGCACAGTGGCTCACATCTGTAATCCCAGCACTTTGGAAGGCCAAGGTGGGCGGATCACGAGATCATGATTTTGAGACCAGCCTGACCAACATGGTGAAAACCTGTCTCTACTAAAAATACAAAAATTAGCCAGGTGTGGTGGCAGGTGCCTATAATCCCAGCTACTCAGGAGGCTGACGCAGGAGAATCGCTTGAACCTGGGAGGCGGAGGTTGCAGTGAGCCTAGATCACACCACTGCACTCCATCCTGGCAGCAGAGCAAGACTCCGTCTCAAAAAAAAAAAAAAAGAATCGAAGAACTCTTATTGACAAATGTAATTTCATGTGATCATTGCAAATGCATTTCAAACCCAATAGTACATTTTTATATGAAGATTTCTACATTGAAACTCCAGCTTTCAGAATGTGTGCATTGTTAACAGCTAGCCTGGTTGCCATTAAAATAGCATTTGCTTCAATAGAGTAGTAAAAGCCACTGTATGTTAAGACAAATATTAGGGCATTGCCTGCTGCTGAACTCACCAGGAACCCCACTCTGCTCCTGTGTTACTCTGAAACAATCTACCTCTGGAGATGTATGTTGTATTCCTTGGGCACCAACATCACGAACTTGTGCATTGGCCAGAATCTCTTTCATGATGGGCAGTGGGGTGGTTTGCGTGTAATTGCCATGTGCCAGTCTCCTTGGCTATGCACAGACAGCAGGACTGCAAGTGCTGGTTGTTGTCCACAGTGCTTCCTGCTTGCTTGGCGTGCACTCCAGGCCACAGGCTGCACAGAGAAGTCCTAATAAGGCTGCTCATGACCAGAGGTACTGACCCAAGGCGCTCTGGCTGGCGCAACCCCTCCTAACTGTTCCATTGGAGGAGAGGTCAATTTCTCACTGCCATTCAGGACACTGGCATGCTAAGGTCTGCCATTTGGGAAACTATTTGGATTATATGTATCATTTTAGGAATGATGAAGCTGTTATGCAGAATAAGGAGCTGATTTTGCCAAGATTAATAGCAAATTAGTACAGAGTCAAAACAGAAAATGGAAATTGAGTAAAAATATTTTGGACAGGAAGAAGGTAATTTTTTTTTTTGAGACAAGCTCTTTCTCTGTCCTCCAGGATGGAGTATAGTGGTGCAATTTTGGCTCACTACAACCTCCAGCTACCGAGTTCAAGAGATTCTCCTGCCTCAGTCTTCGAAGTAGCTGGAATTATAGGTGCCTGCCACTGCATCTGGCTAATTTTTTATGTTATTCATAGAGATGGGGTTTCACCACGTTGGCCAGGCTGGTCTCCAACTCCCGACCTCAGGTGATCCGCCAGACTCGGCCTCCCAAAGTGCCGCAATTGTAGACGTGAGCCACTGTATCGCCCATTTCTTTTATTTATTTTATTTTTTTTTGAGATGGAGTCTTGCTCTGCCACCCAGGCTGGAGTACAGTGGGGCAATCTCAGCTCACTGCTAACTCCACCTCCCAAATTCAAGTGATTCTTGTGCCTCAGCCTCCCAAGTAGCTGGGATTACAGACATGCACCTCCATGCCCGGTTTATATTTCCAAAGACCACTACAGTGATTGGCTCTGTAGTAGGTAATTCATTTATTTATTGAATAAATATTCAACAATAGATAAATGAATAATGAATGATATAGTTTGGGTCCCCCTTCAGTGCCCTCTTAGACCTCGATATGGTGTGGCTTTGTGTTCCCACCCAAATCTTACCTTGAATTATAATCCCTATAATTCCCATATTCCCCATACGTCAAGGTTGGTTCCAGGTAGAGATAATTGAATTATGGGAGTGGTTCCCCCCATGCTGTTCTCGTGATAATTAGTGAGTCTCAGGAGATCTGATGATTTTATAAGCATCTGGCATTTCCCCTGCTTGCATTCATTTTCTCTCCTGCTGCCCTGTGAAGCAGTGCCATCTGCCATGATTGTAAGTTTCCTGAGGCCATCCCTGCCATGTGGAACTGTGAATCAATTAAACCTTTTTCTTTATAAATTTCCCAGTCTTGGGTATTCATAGCAGGGTGAGAACGGACTAATATTGACCTACTGCATAATTTGTAGGGCATTGTGCAAAATGAAAATGCAGGGTGCCATGTTCAAAAATTTTTAAAAATTTCAAGACATGACATCAAAGTATTAAGCCAAGCCAGGACCCTTATGAGTGCTGGACTTTGTGTAACTCCAAAGGTCATATGCCCATGAAGTCTGCCCAGTGCCCAGTGTAGTGCTCTGTCTAGAGCAGGTACCTGGTTTCTTTTCAGAAATTTATTCACTTGCCATCTTTTATTTACCTATTTCTCATCAGCCACTCATTTCTTAAGTGTTCCTAATCTATTTCTTCCATAGGCTATAGAAATTCTTTTTCCAAGGTCACAAATGATTATCTAATTGTCAAATTAATTTCCCTATTCCTAAATATTAATCCTCTCTGACCTAGGGATTAAGATCACTGCCTTTTTTTTTTTTTGAGACAGAGTCTTGCTCTGTCTCCCAGGCTGGAGTGCAGTGGCACAATCTTGGCTCACTTCAACCTCTGCCTCCCGAGTTCAAGCAATTCTCCAGCCTCAGCCTCCCGAGTAGCTGCGATTATAGGCATGAACCACCACACCTGGCTAA